TGTAGAACTGAAATTAAAGAGCATTGTAAGTAAAATGAGTAGCTTGTTGAGAATCAAGCAAATAACCACGTTTACAAATAATATCCCAAGTGAAAGATAATCCATCTTAAAGCCATTGCTTAGTGCAATATCAGTACCAGATTGTTCGTCGGAATGTTCGGACCGGCTCTACCTTGACATTTACATCCGAAGGGAGAAGAGGTGGCTCGAGTTGGCTCGTGCAAGGTCCTGCCCGGTACGTCCCAACGCGCAGCTCCGTAGTCCCAAAAGACCTCGAAGGCAAACACAAACGCGAATGCGATATACAATAAACGCCAACGGGAAGAAGAATAGCGCTTTGAACCTGAAGCGGCAAAAAGAGGAACTGCAAGAAACAGTTGTCGCAACCTACGAATTTCTAGCTACGCTGCTCTCCTCACTCTTTGATTTGACATTTGAGAATGAAAAAATGCAAATTACTACGAACGTATGAAAAATACATCGGATTACTAATTCTAAGTATAAATATGAATAGGAAAATCATAATACTACAATGACTAAAAGGAACTAAAACAAATCTAATCTACAAGGAACTAAATACAACGCTCTAATCTCAATATCGCACTTCTCTCTCAACTCCGTTCCACCCAACGAGCTACAATATTCTGCCTGTGATGTTCGCCTTTCAATTTTCTTTATATTCCCGTTCGCGGGCTTCTGTGGAACCAACGAGATAGAACAATAGAAATCTATAGACTGGCGAAGTGCCCGCCTTATATGAAGTTTTTTGAAAGAACAATAGCCATATTTTCTGTGGGCAACATCAGAATGTTGTTCGATCAAGGCATTCGATCAAGGCATTAGTTTAGTCTAGATTAATTTAAATAATACTGTTTAATAATTCACCATTCAAATAATTTTTTTTACTATCTTCTTAGTGACACGTGATTTTAAACTAGTGCTCTAAAACAGCACGTACTTCTTTGCCCTAATTTTCAGGCAAAAATAAGCGAAAAATACTCAAATTTTCGAAAAATTATTCCAAAATTCATCTTTAAGTAACAGAATTCATTGATAGAAAAATCTCTATCTTCTTAATTGTAGTTTTAGGACGAAAAAAATCAAAGTACACCATTCTCTTAAACGTCCACACTATCCAACAACAAAATTTAATCAAAACCTACGGAGCCCTAAAGTCGCTCAATTTCAAAACATGTACTCATGCAATAAAGTTTAACATTATAAACTAATTGCATAAACTACTATTTTAACACGCCGTGAGAGAAACACAATGCGTCAAGTAAAGGAATATAAATTAAAAATCAAGTAGCTAGAAATACCTTACTTGTATAAAAATAACTAGGTTCAGTGTCGTAACACTATTGTTTGTAAATAATAAACAAAGCCGTCAAGACGAAAGACATTTGCGAATCGTTAAAAATATTTAGCACACGCTTCGCGATGTTTCGCACAACTTGTTTCGCACATTGTTTGGCATACTGTGAAAAAATTAGCTGTTTGGCACTCGGCAAACAAGCACGAGAAACCGCTTTTCGGGCACGGCGTGTTAACAATATTTTGAGTCCTTCAGTGTTGGGTATTACTAATAATCATTCAAACTTTAAATTAAATTGATATCGCTACGAAAATTGGCGTCTGAAGGTCACGCGCAAAAAAGGAAGGAGGCTTGACATTTTTCATGCGCCACATAAAACGCCAGGTTACAAAAATCGAAGTTTAATAATAATTTGAGACTAGACCGGCGTCTCTGAAAATTCGATACGAAAATAAACAAATATTTTTAACGAACTTGTCGTAACTGAATTGATGCATTTTAATGTAATATGCTACACCTTTACCACTACCGAATCTCAATAAATAAATCTGGACAAAAAACACTTGAAATTCACTTATTAGTGAGTGAATTCTATTATTTAAATCTTAATATTATTATACTTTGCGAACGCAAAATTAAATTATCCCTCTTCTGCTTCCGATACTTTTATCGCTTCTATTCGTACAAATTATGTGCCCAACAAGAAGAGAGCACTTTTAATGTTGCACACCTATATATACAAAGCTAAAAAAACACCTAAATCGTGTACTTTTGTGCAAGAACCCATAGAAAGTCTTACTTTATTTTGCAATCAGAAAACATGTCAGCCAGTAGGGCAAATTAATTCGAGCAGGAGCATTGTATTTGCACACAATTACCCTCCATTTAACGCAAGCTCGATGCGTGGAGCGGTCTTAACGCCGCGCCGCCCACGCAGCCAAATGCAGCGTCTGCCCAATCTCTGGCCCCGGGTCCACCGCCTTGTTCACGACTCGCTTAACGTGAGTTGTAGGCGCGGCGTGTGTTTTGAAACGTTTTTACTTTCTTGTTACCACTCACGCAGTAGAGAAAAAGTTATACAATGCTACGCAGAGAAATGGCGATTTTTAAATTTTATTTTCAGAAGAATATTATTTACAGGGCGCTGAGTAACAAAATAGTGGATAAACCCAGGTGCAAAATTTAGAAAAAAAATTATCTAACACGTGGGGTAGCCGCCATGCATGTTTTGTGGGTTCTTGATACCAAAAAATCGAATGACGGTAAAACTTCTGACTGTCCGTCCGTCTGTGAACAACGCTCGCGGCTAAACGTTCAGCCGATTTTCTCCAAAATTGATATTCCCCAATCAATCAGGCTTATATCACGGCTCCTTGAATTTTAATTACGTGGAATATTTTAATTACGTGGGGTATTTTACATGAATACCCAGGGACATTTTCTTTCTAATAGGTGACGTCAGAAGCGCGTTAGTCCAACTGGATGGAATTTGTGCCGAAAAATGAAGCATGCGCAGATCTGGTCCGTCACTTTTCGGCACCGACGAAAAAGGACGAACAAACGACCGTGTATATCGTTCTATTAAGCTGGTTGAAGAGTGACGCGCTGAAGCCAGGGTTCCGCTTGCAGGGCGGGCGCAACCTCAGCAGAAGCCGCAGCCGAAGCCGCAACCGAAGGCGCCAGCGCTGCCGACGGGGGGCGAGGCACGGGGAGTCGGGGGCGCGGCGGCGGCGCGGCGGCGGCGGAAGCCGAGGCGCGGACTACGTGGAGCGCAGGGCGCCGGGCCTACCCATACAAGGTACCACGCGGCAGCGCGTCACGTAGGGCCGAAGCGCAGGCGCGTGCGGCTGGGGCCACGAGGGCGCGCATCACCTGCTCGGTGCTCCTCTCATACTCCAAGAAGAGGCGGTCCGCCGTCGGCCGGAATGTCTTTGGATGAGGAGAGTGGGATTGCATGTTAGTTTATGTTTTGTGAGCGGTTCTGCTCGCCGTGGTGTCAGTGTGGGATGGCGCTATGCATCCGCCAGCCTCGCGCCCCCGCCCCGGCCCCGGCCGCCAGCGGCAACTCACCGCGCGCCGCCACGGCCGTCTCCAACGAGCTGCACGCCGGCTTCTTTCTGCCCGACTACTTCGTCACCGCATTCGGTAAGAGACAGACACTCACGGCGGAGGCTCCACACATTCGGCATTCGTCGAGCAGCGAGCCCAACTCTGAGCAGTTGGGATGTATGGCGAAAGCTCGCTTCCTTTGTATCCAAAAGATCGACACGTTCTGTGTAGGGCGAGTACCGAATGTTCGCCGCTCGGTAAACAGCAAGCAACTCGTCCACTCTACTCAGGATTCGGCGAACAGTCGCTCGCTGATCACCGAATACCGATTGTGTGGAGCCAGCTTTATAGTAAACTACTTACATTAAGTTTTCTTACATTTTAGACTATCGTTACTCTCAATTATTATTATTATTATTATTATTATTATTATTATTATTATTATTATTATTATTATTATTATTTTAATCTTGGAATTATAAATAATGCATCTTTGCGGAGTTTTGAGCCTCTACTTCAGATCCTTATTCAGACATTCAATTATTTTTTTCTTTATGGAAACTTAGAAATTATTCTTCATCGAATATTAAGCCGCGTCTTCATATAGTAGACGTACACATGCCAGTCCACTGTGAAAGCAAGAAATTCATGCTTCGTATATGGATATTGCGTGCCCATAGAGACACGCAACACATTATATTATGAATAATTCGTAAGTTATGTATGCATCTCCATTGATACGGCTAATGCCCAAATAAACCTATTAATTTTTAAACTATTCAAAATATGAGAGATGGATGAAATCCGAAAGAGGAACAGCGTCCATGCTTACCTCTGACTTAATTCGGATGAAGTGTTGATTAGCCAACATGAGGTGGCTAAAGTAGATGAAGAAGCGGTAGATAAAGCAGATATGAAGTGATAAATAGGTATCGACTACGGGTGGGGCTTTCAGAGGCAAAATGTATAGTCTCGAGTTACACAATGTCAATCGTAAATTTCTGTTTTCATATACTTCATTAAAAGTATCTCTTCAAGGTCACGAGCTCAAAAGAGGGGGAGGGGTCACCGACATCAAATCGCGAGCTTCCAAAATACCAAAAGTTTAAAGTTTTAACGAAGCTCGCGATAGGATGAAAGTGTCCCTCTCTCCTGCCAGCTCGTTACCTTGGGGGGACACTTTTAATCGGCGTATAATACCACCCAATCTAACCTCATTGTTAGAGGCAAACATTTTCTAATTTAGGTGCTAAAATAGGTGCATGTTTTGGTGCAAAAAATAAAAATTAGTGCAAATAGAAATACATGATTTTACATCATAACAAATGTACATGAAATTGAGGGGAAATATGTAAGTTGCATACAAACTATTTTTTTTTAAACGGATTCACATCTTCGGATAAAATACACAATGGTTTATCCACGTTCCCCAGCGAGTCACGATGAGTTAAGGTAGTAAGGGAAATCGATAGTTCTTTCTTTGTGTACGAGAACATTTGAGGGACATTTAGTAAGCACAGTCTTCGTCAACAATTCATCAGCGAGCAAGCATTATTCTTTACGTACTATTTGCAATACTCTAAGCAATCTAATTCAATTCTGTGCAGTGCGATGGGCTATAGGATTTGTTTGAAAGATGTCCTCGAGTTACCGATGGGGTATATACTACTGAGCTCTTAGTTTACAGTGGTTGAGAAACAATCAGATTTGCCATCAGAACTGCGCGAATGTTAGACTTAAAAGAACAACATACTAAATACATCATAACTTCATGGAGTTCGCTTTGAACTACTTTTGGAAATGGCTCGATATCCGGTAAAAAAATGTAGCTGTCGCGATAACTGCTAATGAACGAGTTTTGATTAACTAAAGATCCGTAATTTTGAAGATAGTTATGTTTCTATTTTTTAAAAGCTCTAAATCATAGTTAATATTTATTAGGTACACTAATGTATTCAACTTTTATTATTAATCCAGCACAACGTTGAGCGACGAAGTTGGTCTTCAGGCACAAGTATTGTTAATTTTTCAAAAACATACATTGTTCACAACTGGTGGTAATGAACGACAATAGGTGCCTTTGCTTTTGCTCTCCCGAGGTTAGGAGCGTGCTTTTGTTTGCGAAGATTGGGAAATAGGGGCTTAAGGTCTATTTAGGTGCAAAGTCAAGTTTCTGAAAAGCTTTCTATTGGATTACATAACATGTTAGAAGTAAAAAATGAAAACTTCCAATGAGCTTTGTCTCTAGATGCATCATCTAAACATCCGGTCCTTACTTAGTATACCTCAGTTGAAACTTTGCTAAGCGTTTCCAAAGGAGGCTCCGGCCTTTTGTTTTCGCGTTTTACACTGAAAATCTTGAGTCTGTGCACCGCATAATTTCCGATTTTCTTTTCTGTCAAAGTTCGTGATGCAATCATACCCTATGCTTCGCACTCGGACAATCACCTCATTTTAGCCAGTGCTCTGTGGCTAATGCCAATTAACCAGATTAATGGCCGAAATAATCCGCTTATCGTCATCCATTCACCTTTATCCAGGCTGTATGGTCCATATGCGAATTAACCGGTTGCTCCTATACATTGGTCATACATTTTAGTTTGTTAGCAGTAACACATAAACACGCACATGCAGAGGTTCATATAATGTATTAAGACTCCATAATTGCATTCTTACAACCATATACGACCAATCAGTGTCTTTTACTGATCGTAGATTACAGTAGAATCGTTGATCTACCATTCCAGATCCTAGAATGCTATGAGACTTTTTTTTTTGACACTCTTTATAATACTCCTTCACTTTGAATATTTAGTGAAATTTGAAATAAGTGTTTAATTTTCAATAATCATTTACTTACATTTCAAATCAGATAAATAATTCCTTCTATCGAAATACTGAATACACATTCGTAATTATATGACTTACAAAAAAGGGGACTGAATGAATAACCGGAAATGAGACTAAGAAGCTCGAGTTTTGAGACGAAAGAATTCTGGAGCATAGCAACACTATGAATACGAATGCTTAATCAAATGTGCTTTCTTTACAGGAACCCCATTGTCCTCTATCGGATACCAAAAGTGGGCCCCAGATCAACAACACACACAGATCTGCGGTAGCATTAATCACGCTGCTCTACTCTACGATGCAAAATGCACCGATAAAAGAAGTTTCATCTGCGAATTCAAAAAGGACGCTGCTGCAGCCTTCAAACTCACAGATGCGCCAATTCTTCTCCCCGACTCGACTCCCCAGCAAAAGTACACGCCCATAAAATTAACCCCCGATCGCCGTTACGTCGGCCTGGTCCAACAGGGCCGCCTACACTACTATAGAGTGAGCGAGCCAAGTGAGAAAATGAGGTGGGCTCGAGCGAATAGTGTCTGCCAAGACGAAGGAGGCCACCTCCTCGTGATCAACCACCAGTTCGAGGCTGACACTCTCAAGGACCATCTCAAGAAACTGAATATCGCGTCCGATGTTTACGTTGGACTCCGCAATGGACCCAATAAATTTGTAACTGTGTTTGGTACGTATCTCTCTCTCTCTTCCTCTTTGAAGGTTATGGCGCCCAACTGAACATCGATTCATTAATTACTTACTTAGTGTGCACTTTCAAATAATTAGATTTTCTTACAGTTATAGGCAAGAATAATTTACATCGCTCTTACAGAGATATCGTTAAACATTCCAACCTTTCGTTCATTAAAAAAAGGGAATTTTAGTGCCACACAGCGACGATATATACTAACAGTCACTTCGGCTTCAGGCACAACCCTATACCTTCATAAATAGAACACGCCTGTAGGAGTCGCTACGATCACCTTACAAACTAATAAACTGCCACTTCCGACACAGGTTAATGCATTGAAGAGTGTGCCTCCAGTGGCGCGGGTCGGACGGCGCGTGGGGCAGGCCAGTGGGTGTGACGACATGGACACAGTCGCACGCGCCGAAACAAAGAGGGAAAAAATAGCTCATGGGCCTCCAAATGCCATGTGTTTTTTTAAAGTCTGATAACATCAAAAACAGTTTGATTTCTCTACAAATATGTTCAATTCATGCCTAATAGTGAATAAAAAATCCGATTCAGCAGTGAGATACAATTGTGGGTCGTTAATAACGATGGCGCGCGGCGCCATTTTAGCCGGTTGCAGTGAAAAAGTAAAATTGTGCGAAGCACAGTTGAAAGTATTTTGAATAAAAATTGAAAGTATTTTGGATAAAAATTTACGGAGCTATGGCCGTTAGAAAAGTGTTTATTTCTATGGTTTTAATGTAAAATTGACCATATTCGAGCTAATGTGGCACACCGAGTCAAATACGTAATGTTTGATGATCATAAAATTGTTGCGGAGTAACATGGGTACCACCTCAGGCGAAAACCGGTGATAAAAATAACTTTAAATAATATTTATTTGGAATCCTCTAAAACGTAGCGAAAAAGGCCAAAAAATGGGAGTTTATGGGGATAATTCAATATATATATTTCTTCATCCCCCCCCCCAAAAAAAAAAATCCTCTCTGAATCCGTCCCTGCCAACTCGCAAGATGAATAAAATTGGTCCCAATACCGATCCCTGGGAAACTCCACTGTGATGACGTATTCTCCAATTCTAACATAAAAGCTGCGATCCTCGAGAAAGGACTGTATCCAACGCAGCTTTCCCCTTATAGCAAGATGAGCAAGTTTGTAAATCAACCGGGGATGTTGTACCTTATCGGAAGGGAGAAGTCCAAGTAAATGATATCGGTTTGTTCCCCGTATCTAGGCCCAGTCTTGCAAAGAATTTTGTGAATATAGATCTCCCCAGTGACGTAAAGAAATGAATGCGAGCCTGCCCGCAAAACTTTTCCCCGGAGCCCCCTTTATAAAACTGCAGAGCAAACACAAGTAGTGCCACTATATATACTGCTAAGATTTGTCCACTTCTCCGTTACCAGGATCCGGCGATAAGAGTTTTTCTGTTTAAAATTCGCTGTTTTTTTCCCGCAGCATTACAATACGTTTTCTGTACTTCATAATTGTGCGCTTTTCTTATTTATGTTCTGCACTGCGCATTGTACTTTTCTTATTTATATACTGCTCAAGCGGAGCGAGAAAGTAAAAATACCAAATGATGTGATCATCATATAAATTAGACCTGACATATAACATAAAAACATTTATGTTATTTAAAAAATACAAAGCTAACAGTTTCAGGAGAGTAACAATAAATAAAAATGTCCAGTAAAAATGAATTAAAAATTAATTTCAACATACAACAGTAAATTAACAATGATGTACCTTACAAATTTTTTGATTGATATTTTCCTGAGACATGGCTGGGAATTTTGGCTGAGACTGGGGAATTTTGTTCATTACGTAATGCTGTTCCATCTTTATTCTTAAAATACCCATGCGCAGACTCTGACCACAAATTCTCATATCACCAACCACCTCACTCTGCGACAAAGAAAATTGTCTTTATCTACATACAGTGAAGTATATATTGTCTATACATTATGTATGAATAGAAGTAAACTGTAACTTTACATATACACCACTGGATACATCGTTGGTGTGCCAAAGAAAAAATACTGAATTGCCCCTAGCAGCAATATCTAGTGTGGCAGTAATACTTTTTGATTTCTCCTGACCTTTTTCAAAGTTATAGGACTATTAGGTGGAAAAATGGAATAATAACCCATCTCTTTCTCACTTCTTTAACTAACAGATTCATAACAACTTTCTTTTTTATACTTTTGCTAAAATTTTAAATTCAAAATTAGGCATTGCACATGTAATTTGCTTATTTTAGTTTTGTTTATTATTTTAGGTAAAACCTTAGTGAACGCGGGTTACGTCAACTGGGAATCAGAACAACCTGAAGATGAGACTTGCCTTGCAGTCGATCAGAATATGCTACTGAAGAAAATACCGTGCTGGGAAGAGAGACAATTTATATGTGAGATGACACTCCTTTGAGAAAACAATGATTGCACTATAATGAATTTTTTTAAATAAATATTTTGAGCTCTCATCACCTGGCTTGTCTATTAGATTTGTTGTTGTTGTTGAACTAATTCACGTGTACCCTCCTAAAATAAATTTTTAAGAAATTTCATTTCATGATTTTGGGAAGTATTCACACAAAAGGCTAGTTTAAAGATGTTCAACTGAAGGAATTCAAGTTGAAAATTTCTTAATACAATGTTTTCTTAATAAAATCATTCTGATTGAACTTTCCAAAGTGATGCACTGGGATAGATGGCTAAGAGCATCAATTGATGTCACTGCAGTCTCTCTGACCGGGAGGTCCTAGGTTCAAGTCCCTATAGTGGCAGGATTTTGACACTAGCTTGTTAGCTATGTAGAATCCAGTCACTGTCTGGAAGAGAATTCAAGCAGCCAACTGCTCTGCTCGGTAGTTTTCTGTGATTTCACCAATCAACACCATGTAAATACCAGAGCAGTACCTAACAAACGGGCCACAGACCATGAGCAATCTTTCCTTCCTCTTCCTTGTCCATTTCCTCCCCCCTTAAACACACACATGTGCTTCACTAACACAACCGCCAGGAGACCGGTCAAGAGCTTAGAGCTTGCCCCGGATGCAGAGGTGGTCGACAGGTGGGAGATATCTGGTTGAGGAAAAGCCCACAAGCAGACAGTAGGACAGCACAAGATCTTGCCATAGTGAGGGAAGACCACAGCCACCTTCTGAAAAAGAAGAAAAGAAAAGAAAAAAAACCACTAATTTTACAGGACTAATGACCATAGTATTTGAGGTGCCCGGAATCGCTAACAATCAAAGTATTGTCAAGGAATATATTGATTTTTAATAATTATTAACATCTTTAGGCCAATAATCAGTAAATTTACCAGCCAAGACCATTATTTGTGTTACTGACATTTTATCAATACTTTTTGTAATTCCACTCTTGTAAGAAAAAAATCATAATAAATAAGCATACTATTTCTTGGAATAAGAGTATTTCTACACAATTTTTAGCGACAAGTAATTTGTTTTAATTGTTCTTGATGGACAGTCCTAATGAAACACGATCCTTTAAAGCAGGCATATACAACACCTGCTCCTGTGGGCATTCTGCACTTACGAGCCAGCCTTCTGTCCACATGAGCTGCGAAAATACAAGTAGTAAGAGAGGCAACTTTTGGGGCAGGAGAAAAGCCGGACCAGGGTAGACACAGAGCATAGATTTAATGACATACGTCACTTCAGAAATAAACTCTTCAATTCCTTTCCCTCACTTTCTAAAACCTGATAAAACATCAAAGCCAGATCACAAAAACTCAGAGCAGTAACATCCTGATAATGCATATCCATCAACAGCCAAGATTTTTAGAGACCTTCCAAAATATGACCACACTTAAGGAGATGTGTGTTCCCAAAATTGATGTAAACAAACATGATAGGAGAGAAGAGGGGTGACAAATATTAATGATCACACAATATCTGAATTCCATTAAATTGTTTTTTGCATTATGTAACTTTACATCTACTATATTCACAAAAAAGGAAAAATGTCCGGTTTGCAAGTTATTAGAAATTAACATGTTATGTCAAGAAATTTAGTTTCTTTATTGAATAAAAAAAATGCAAGTTTTCACAATAAGAATAATAGCACATGATCTCTTACAATGAAAATTACATGAACACAATCAGTAAAAGAATACTTTACACTACACAAAAATTAGAGAAAAATTAAAATAATAATAAAAAACTATGAAATGTAAAATACAGGAATGCAAATGTTTAAATTGTCACAACTTTGCAACATTCAAAAATTTCGAATGAAAATAAATACTTTATTTGTATTAATTTGTTTTACATTGTAAAGCAAAACTTACTCAAACCTGAGAAAAAAATGACAAATTAAGTTTTGTCAATTATAACAATTTTTTAAAAAAAGTTTAATAGACAGCAACTGGCCTGAAAATGGTTTCAAATGAATAAATTAACGTGTTTTTACTGAGTGCAAATATTTATTCATTACAAATCCATCACAAGGAAAATGCCCGTTGTTTTTTCCAACATTGGAGAAACTGGCATAAAACTTCCCAGGAAGTCAGAATAGGTCACATAAACTTATATCATTGACAAACATGTTTACCACATTGACCTTGGAATACAAACAGAATATTCACACACGAGTGTTCAAAAAAATGAGTCCACAAACATTTTAGCTACTTCACTTTATTTCTTCTCCAAATAAGAGACTTCATGTCTCCAATTTTCTCTTTCTTATGCTGCTGGTGGCATTAGAAGTTGATTCTCCATCGATGACATGTACAACATCATCATCATCATCATCCGTTTGCCCTAAAAAAATAATAAAAAATCACATAGAAATAACTAACATAGCTACACAAAGTCAATTTTTTGGCATGATTCGTGAATCTGTGACACAATTTGAAGGGGGAAAAGGAAGCACAAAACAGCATGAATAGAGAGCTTCCAGTATTTTCAAACATGCTCTGAATAATACATTTTTGTTCATGCATTTTTCTTCGTGCAAGCAGACATCAAGTGTCAATAATTAATCAAACCCGTACCGTTTTCAGGTTGAAGTTTCTCTGGTGAACCTGGTTTAGCATTTTCAGAACCAATTATTTCAAACAGAGGTCCATCTCTTGTCAGACACCTAAAAACAAATTCTTAATCAAAATAGTTTCTCTCTTTACAAAGGATTACAGAAATGAATTGACACTGGTTGAAAACTTTTAGATAATACTATGTTTATTGGTTAGGCCACTACAACTTACCTCTGCACAATTACTATATTTAGTTCATAATTCTGAAGAAAGTCGTCAGCTTTCAAAATACTGCCATTCACCACTCCCATTTGCTGAAAAATAAGTTTTTTATTCAATATGTCATTAATGAAAAAATTTCTACACTGAATTTTCCAGAATATACAATTTTTATGTAACTTTTTCCTTTCTTTCCCATATTTCATTCCCCCTCCAGAACAGAAGGTCTCAATTTGGGGACTGATCATAAAACTTTCTATATCGATCCCCTTATCATACTTAACGATTCTTCTAAAAATCCCAGACTTTTCCTAGACATTTCCATAGCAATGAAATTCCCTGTTTTTTCCTGGTTTTCCAGGAAGTGGCCACTGTGAGAATAGCAAAAGCCTGTGTAACCAACTCTACCCTCAGGAGCCAGCAATACAAGTTATTTCCCTCCCACTACATCCAGAATCATTATCTTATAAGTTACTAATTGTTGTCCCCGTTAAGTCTTATTAATGCTGGTTTGATTTAGCATTCCCAAAATCATTTCTAGCCATATTCCAGAGGTAGATGGCAACAATAATACATAACCATCAACAATTTTTATTAAATAATGTATTTATCTTAATTTGTTGGTAAGTGAAATATTGTGTGGGTTGATTTGAACAAATAAAATTAGAAGAAGACGCAATTGACTTCAATTCTCCACATTTACTTATGACAAGCTGATAAGCACTTAGGAGTGTTTGTAATCCGAAAATATTTACCCCAAATTTCAAGGCACAAGCCTGGCAGAGGATGCAAAGTAAAGGAGGACCAGGCCGCAAGGTGAGGGAGGACCAGATGCAGGGCAGGGCGAGGTAAGTACACCTTAAAAACTTCAATGTCTTGAGAGCAACCTATCCTCAGCACTCTTTCCTTTACACTGAAGGCTGCATCAGATGATTCAGTGGCTAGTGTGTTCTGTAGTAGAAAGGCTAATTGCTCGTTTCAAATTCACCCCTTCCGTAAAGTAATCTATGCCGAGACGTTTGCTGGGCTGCAAGCCCTGAAATATCTCGAATCAGGGTTGTCACAATGTGTTGTAGAGTCATTCCCATAGTGCACTTCAGTCTCTTGTAACCCTTCTCCCTCAGACCATTTGACAACTACATTTATATTCCCTATGTCACCTTCACAGATGCATTTCTGCAGCATTTCTTAACGCTCCTCATTCAGGGCATGACAGTAACACAATACCACTTTTAAATTAAGAACAATTAAAAATACTGTACATCCTTGCTGCACAGCAAGCCATGAGGAAATAATTTAAATTATCTTCATATCGACTATGGCTACATTTACATGGTTTCCATCCTAGCGATGAACTTGCCCCTATCTTCAACACATGCAGTACACATGTAAGACTGACCCCTCTGTGGAAAACAACCTACACTGTGGAACGTTGGTTCTCAGCCAACTTTCTTTCTGCGAGAAGAATATATAATATATTCTTCCCTAAGATACACCATTTACCAAGGGGTGACTACTGAATTCTAACCTACTGAAATCTCACCCAGGTGTACCTGAAAAAGAAAATTGGACACAAGATTCTTAGAAACAGAGGGAGCAGCTCTCTAAAACTCATGAAATGGAATGAACGCATTATTCCGTGCCTCTAGGTAGTGTCAGGTTTTTACAAAGTGGAAGAAGATAGCTACTCATGTTGTGACGCAAAACAAATTTGAGTTGCCAAGTGATCCACGGTGACCTGACTCTTTCTCAACCCACAATGGATAGGAGTTAGCAAGTTCGTTGACTCCAGGGTCCAGACCAGACCAAAAAGTGGTTTACCATATGTTCAAATATTTTACCAACACAGCCTGTCTTAGATTGGGCAGTAATTTGTTAGTATGGTTGACCTTTTCCTTACAAGTCGTCAGGATGATGGTGGGTAATTTTAAAAATGGTATGTTCATACCACATTGAATTGAAAAGATTAAGAAGGAATTGTTTCCCATGTTCTGGCAAATATTTTTGATCATCATCTTATGAATTGGGTTTGGTCCAGGAGAGGTGCTTTTAGATGGTGATATGGCAGAGGCAAGTTTGTTCATAGCAAAAGCAGCATTTTAGCCTTTTTTCCGAGTTCAACTTTCTCCTTTTGGTAGAAAGGAACAATGGAGTGTAGCAATATGAGCTTTATACCTCGCAGTTGGAGGCAAGTTGCTCGGTTATATCTGACGATGTTGCAGCTTCCCAGTCACTAATAGCCCCCAAAACCTGCAGATCAAGGCAGGGTCCCTTTAAGTTTTTAAATTTCATTCGGACAACATTGGGAGGAATGACCCATAGAAGCAGAGATATGTAGTCTCTCCAGGAAGAGGGATTGCTTTCGCACATGACTCTTGTTGCTTGGGCTCCTGACCATTTATATTCCACAACATTTTCAATAGTTAGATAATGGTTCAGTCTCCCTAGTGTATTCTTCCCAGCCTTGGATCATATTCGCACAACTTGAATTCCACCATGGTATTGAGCGACATCTCAGTCCACCAGAAGATGATTTAAGAATGCCAACTGTGGCAGCAGCAATTACAGCATCAATGAAATGAGAGCATCAAATCTATGTTCTCAAAAAGCCTATCAGTTAGACAAAGAGACCGCTCAAACTCCATTCAGTCCCCTCACTGTATCATTCAGTGAGTGGTCGCGCAGAAATGGGAGCAGAAGAGAACATTAATATGCAGCAAGGCTGGGTAATGATCACTCCCATGTAAGTAGAAGTGATCTTTATCACTTTCACGTTATTTCAAAAGTAAAAGCACACCTTTTAAATATAGGAGTTATTTTAATTTGTTTGCTTAGAGACAAGATCTATTGCCTAGAGACAAGCAACTACAGCACGAACATGGGAAACCGAACTCTGAGTAACTCCTGACACGTTCTATTCCCCCTCTTCTACCTACTCTGGGCATTGTATTTCCAGGCTACAACTTGCTTGTGTATCATTTTGATGCACAAGAAATTTATCATGTGTCCTGTTGACCTGCTGTTGCTTTGCCTTGAATTCAGTTGCACCCAAATTTTACAAAAATGTAACTATCATTTATATGCATTACTCACCGATAAAGTCTTTGGATAGTTGTCTGTTGTTTCACCTTCCTCACTTGACAAAATAACTGTCCCCGTGGCTGTTATGACATCTGGAGCCACCATATGTAAACCTTTTTTTAAAATCTGTTCCTCTAATTCTTTGACTGTCAAAGACTGAACATCAACACATAGCTGAACCTGTAAAATAAGTATGAAAACTGTCACAAAAGCATTCATGGTTATACTATCATGTTATCTCCCAACATTCCACTGAAACAAAGAAATTCAACATATTAATAATATTAATTATATACTCCAATTGAAATGTCAGTCATGAGCTGGAAGGAGAAGGGGACACTGGCTTCGTCAGGAGCTTTGTTACAACTTAAATTTTTGGTATTGAAACTCTCAAATGGACCCCCTCTCCTTCCAGCTCATGACCTTTAAGAGACACCACATATAAATTCAAGTATACACAAGTTAAACCCGTTTACACTTATCACCAAGAAAAAAAAATGGTGGAAATCACAAGTGAACATTGGGGGAATTACATTTACTTATGCAATAAAATAAACTTTATTTTATTTTTACTGCTAGAGCTTTTTGATGCCACTCAGTCATTAGAATTCTGATAATACTTTTGGTGCATAAATAACTATTTATTAGTAATATTAACTTGTAATGAGACAAAACTTTACACATGGTTTCTAGTAACAAAATACATAGTAAACATGCCTTTAAGGTGCAATGTCATGGAAATGAAAGTACTTGCTGTTCTCAATTACTTCACCAAGAATATGGTTCTATAAAGAAACAAACTAGATAGGCTACAACATCACATACTTTCTCTCAATCATTCAAACAAATTCTCACATTATTGGTTTTGTAATATTGAAATATTAACCATTTCTGCTTGCACAAATGAAAAACTTGAATCCATTTAACTGTCACAGCATTTTCTGCAGATTACAAGCAAAAGAATGAATAACAAACTTGAATAAGCAATCAAAACTGAACGTAACAGAAATGTATTTGTTAGTTTTAAGTTAAACTATTACCTGTCTTACATCCATTTTCTTTAATTATATAATCATCTACATCATAGAGAAGAATTCAAGTAATCTGAAACCTCCATCTTGCTATTCTGCAAACTGACAGATGTCGAACAAAGCACAGAAAATTCAAATTTACTATTTTGAATTTTTTGCAACTTTTAAAAATGCAGAATGTGCCAAAAATGGGACCACACTGCTTTCTCAACTATTCCTTGCTTCATATGTGGAATAAAATTTAAAGAAAAGATTCACATGTGCCAAAAAATGGGACCGCACTGCTTTCTCAACTATTTTTTGCTTCATATGTGGAATAAAATTTAAAGAAAAGATTCACATCTGTTTTTGAGAAAATAATTGTTTAAGATTGGAAAATTGTCTGTTTTATTCAAAATTATGCAAAAAACTTATTGTAAACATAAAATCGAACATGAACTATTTTGAACAGATCAGTTTCTGATCAACACATTTCATTACGAAATAAAATGTTTTCTTCGTAATTGTAGATGTAGGAAAACACTGAAAACATTTTGAATTTTTTGTAATTTTTGAGAGCAATGAAAATATGACCTACCCTATTTTTATGATTCTTTCGCTCTATAAGGAGAAAAAATTTGGAGTGATTTTTGTGAAAATTTTGAAAATGGAGGCTTCAAGTAAGGTATACCCCAAAATTGAAATATCTGCTTCAAATATAAGACTCCACAATATCCACAAGATACATTGGAGAAAATCAATTTTATTGAAAAACCTGCTTCTGCAGTTTAGCTGCCAGTCTCCTGAGTCAAATGTTTTGTCGTCAATTGATTTTTCGGTATCATGGATTCAATCAACAAACTTTCTGACTACACTATGTCATAGGAACAGTAACTACATATAAAAGCGAGATTTATCCATTTCATTGCCAAGGCAAGAGTTTCTGTTGAAAATTAGCTTCCCCCTCTCCCCAAAACATTAAAATTCTTTTGCTATACTGTGTATGCAGTAGTGAGAGTGTAAAATCAACAACTCTAAAGAATGTTTTTATAAGACAGCGATTTGAAATTTTATAGCAAAACACAAGATAGTGCTTTTCATGGGTTTAACACTTACATTCTCAATGGAAAAAATTGAATTTTGTGACGAGTGCATTATCTAGTCACATAATACCAGTATGTCCAGAACATGTACATTTCAAAAATGTATGCAATTCACAACATAGTGATTTGCCCCCCCCTCCCCTTATTTATAGATTAATAAGATAACACATAGCTCAGGTCACTCCTTGAACAAGATGAAGTAATTCAGTCTCCCTAACTACAAATAGTTAAGTATTCCTAGGTTAGTGTGGGAGTCAAACATACAAAATCCAGGGTTTGCAATTTTGCACAGACCACCTTCCCAGACATTAGCATGCATAAAGGAGATTACATTCCAGTTTGGATTTCAAAAATTCTCAATGAGACATTTGCTCAACAAATATCTCATTTGTGCACATGCTACACATAGACAACTACATAGGTCATCTGTGGCTACCTTCTCTACTCATATTGCACCTACACACCCGGCAGTGTTTGAAACCATGTGACCTGCAAGTCAAGGACTTCGCAATTCTTAAGCACACTTATAATCAAAGACTGGATTTTCGTGCAGTAAAACCTCCCAAAACTTGCAGCAATTGCTGACGCCCCAGAGCCAAACACATTGCTTGAAAAGATTTTTTCTGCCTCCAATGAGGATCAAATTGTATAACGAATGGAATCAAATTGATTTAAAGGAAGAAAAAAATTAGGTTTTGCTGGCTGGAGGAAACCAAACAAATTTTATTTGCCCTTACAATGGATTCTTCCAAATTTCTAGCAGAATGTAAAGCTTTCGAGACAATCACTCAAGATGGACCTGTGCACGTTAAACACTAATTGATATTAGCTGACCTCTAAATTGTCATACACCTAGAATAGAGTGACCTGTGACAGAATGGTACAATTATGAGTACATAAATGGGCACGATTACGAACTTTTTGTAACAACGTTTATGAATATGTACCGCTGTAGCTGTGAAGAAAGCTGAATAAATGAATTATGATGATTATCTTTATGGTGACAGTAAAAATGTCAATGACTTGCTACATTTGGTTACATCTTTGGACAGGGATATTCAAGGTGAGGCTTTCTACTGGCTTCCCGAATCCTATATGTTAACTTATTAACAACTTTATGTATACTTATTACAACTATATGTATACTTATTAACAACATGTAACTGTCACTCAACTTAGCACATGTGATAATACCGAGAGGCCATAGTATCACTGTGAAATGTGAGTTATCACAGAATTACTTTACTTTTTTAGAAAATACACATGCATTTTAAAAGTTTAGTGAATGCATCTAAATGAGCATTACCTCATGTTTTGGTGAGCAAACATAGCACTTTGAATTTGGTTGGACCAAACATGCCTCAGGAACAATCTGAACGTTTTTGTGATTGGGTTTGTTGCGAAGGTAAACAGACTGACAATTTTCCAGTTGTCCTCGTAAAACATAAAAGGCTTTAAGAACAACTAGTCCAGCAACTATGGCATTGCTTGTAGCAATAGCTGGAATGATATTACCTGCCATTGCTGAAACCATTAAGCAAAAATTACATCTTTATTACAACACCTTCAACAGAAACCTCTATTTAATGATTATTTATTTATTTATTTAGAAGGTTCCTTCAAACAAATCACAATCTACAGAAAAGTAAAATATTAGAAGAAAACAATGTACAAACACATTCTTACTTACATTTAATGTCAAAACGAGATTTCTGAGGTATACCAAATATGTAAGCTCTAATGTTTGCACAAGAAGCAACAAAATCCATAGCATCTTTGTCATCCTTATCCCATACAAGATTATCTCCCAAATCAAGTCTCTGGAAAAGAAAAAAAAGGAATAAAGTTTATGAAAAACATGCTCTTCATTGCAGTCACATGTAAGCCAATATTCAAACTTAATTTTTAACACAGATGTTAGTAAAGAAATACATTTCAACTTTCTCCTTAGCCTTCTGGAAAACAAGTGTTAACAGTAGATTTGAATAACCTCAAATTCCACCAACATTTTAATTAAAGCAATCAGTTCTAGCAAGAATTATTTAAATGATCACCAGAAATCAGGGTTTGCTCAAGCTCAATAGTCCGACATATTGCACCAAGCGTCTCCAATCACTTCAACAGGATAAAATGAGATAAGTACAGTAGAACCCCTATTTAATATCACCCCAGGGAGACCTGAAATTCTTGTGTTAAATGGGGGTTAGAGGAATTCTTTGAAATAAGTTAAAATTAAACAGGAATTATCAATTTCATTTTAAAAAATGATTTGTTTTTTATCATAGGTGTTGTTCATAAATTACATATCAGTAGGGTTCAGATGTTTATGAAAAATATGCAATGTTAAAAAATATGCAAGTACAACCCTAAAAAAAATATGAAAATATTACTACAATTTTTTAGTTGCATTTTCAAAACCTTAAAAATCTTTCTGTTGGTTAAATAACCATTATGTTGAAAATATACTCTTAAAATCTAGTACATTCACAATTCAGCCCTTCTCCTATGGCACCCCTATGAAGACCATTCTACCCACTAAATTATTTATAGATGCAGTTGACCTTGGCACATAACCTGACAAAACTAACTACCTTCGCCACTGGGGCTTTCTACACTTTCATTTTATTCTGCTACTAGTATATAGTTTACCCTCCCAATTCACATACATATATATAAATATACATAGACAATATAAGATACGTAATATAAGATAAGATAATAAGAATACGTAATATAAGATAATAAGATACGTAAACAATTAGGTACAAAAATTCACGGAAATTACCATAATATGAAAAATTTACGGAAATGACCAAAGAGTTTTAAATAAAGCCAAAATATGGCTATATGACTTGTGAAAATTGCATAATTTTAGTCGTAGATAAAATCATGCTTAACTTATATTTTTTACGAAAATAACACAAAGAATAAAAATGATATGTCATAAACATCTGGACCCTTCATATCACCAAACAGAAGAGAGGGGGGTTTGAGGCACTGTTACATAGGAGGTTATGGTTTTGTTTTATGTAGTGCTGATACATTTTTTAAAATTTTTCAACATCTTCTGAAATAATTTCTTTTATCCAGTCTTGTACTAAAACATTCAATTACCAGGAAGAAAGGTGATTTAATTACAAAGCTATGATGCACAAACTGTAATAAAAACGAAAATATTTTTTTACCAATTTTTTTCATAGAATATTCTAAATTACTAAGGATTTGTTTGATTCTTGTCGTTTTTATAAAATCCAATTGAACTGACACAGTAGATTTGAGTCATCCACGACTCCGGCATGTGCATAACCAGTTCCGTCTAGTTTAGTAACTAGAGGTGGAATGGCATAACATATATTCATAAATTTTCTTGTCTATGGGTCCTTCCTTCAAAAATTGTCCCTAATGTTATTGTAAGATGCAGTCTGTATCGCCAACTAATTCTGACTTATTCATCAATTTTAACATACAACAAAAATAAAATTTACAGAACTTGATTCTACTTTATAATTTATTTTTAATTATTGTAAATTGGGGAGGGGAGGGTCTGGCCACAAGCGTTATGTAATTATTTTGATGTAATTCAAGAGCATGTTACAGATGCGTTGCAGGCAGAGAGGGGTATTCAAAAAACGGTAAATTTACGTTATATTAAATTTATGGAAAATCCTATACTTAATTAAATCACCATATTATCATTCAAGTTCTAGATCTGGGGGCAAAATTTACAAGGATGAAGGGCACTCCCATGACACAATCCGATTCCGAGCAGCAAACTTTGCGTAACACCATTTTAATAAAATTGTCATTGCAGCTGTTAACAGTTTTCGTATACTAGTTGGCTGCATTGCACGACGGATGGTATCAGATGACATATTTCTCAACAGTTCCCAATTCATGTAGGGAAAAATGGGGGGTAACATCATTAAATCGTAAATATAATTACATTTATTACAAGTAGGCATTGTCGGGAGACTCAGAATTTAACGTTAAATACGGGAATACATTAAATCGGGGTTCTACTGTACTGTTGAATGACAAGCTGAAGGAGATTACTTCCTCTTAAAAGAAGTTCTCTGGTGTTTTAACTTCACTTGAGTTTAGAGTGTGTTACATCTCTTGAGAAACATTAACCCATTAATTTGAAGATAGATAATGTTAAACAAAATCAAAGGTGGTGAAATACCACCTTTATATATTTTCTCAATTGCCAGCCAGTGAACTGAGTTCATATCTGAGGAACATTAAAGTAACATTTCTGCAGAATGAACTTGGTGTTTAACTCTGTACTTCATATATGACAATTCAATAGATGAATTTTGTTGCATAAACATTAATAAACAATATCTCTATCACATACTTGCTGTTGACTATAAAGATTTCTGCAACTGGATGAAAATATTTCAACGCACTCTGCTACACTCCATATCTTTTGATCTTTGAGGACAGCATCAGTTTCATTACTGCAGCCAGCAACTGAACACAAGCACTCAGATAAAATAAAACTCTTTAAACATTATAGATAAAAATCACTATAGAATGAACAATTGATAAACGTTTACCAGCATCTGGCACTTCACCAAACACAAGAGGTTTGGGAGGAGTTCTATTTTTCCACAGATTCCCCATACTCAGTAAATATTTTATATCATCATGAAATAATTTACGAAACAGCTTCTCAGGATCATAATTTGATTTAACAGCCCATTCTCGAGTAGTTACCCTGGTCACATTTCCTTGATCATTTGCTTCACCTTTAAGAGCTGCCATACCAGCATCACCTGTAACCAGAATTATTGATGCAACATGACAAGAAAAAAGAAGAAATTTTACATTAAATGCATATTTAGATGTTAATACCCAAAACAATATAGAGAGGTGTTGAAAAAACATTGCCAGAATAATCATACACAAAACTATCGGGACTTCATCATAGACCTCTTTGCCACCATGCAGTGTGGTTGACAATTGTGACAGTGAAAACAACATTACTATTCTTCAATTTATTTATAGCTGCATTTGACAGGTCGTCAGCTGTTATGGTGTCATCCAATCAGGACCTTGCATGTCACAACAATGCTCCCGAGTGGATGACACTGTAAAAGCACACTAATGTCAAGTGTAGTTATGTTTAAATTCAAATATAGTGCATTGCTGGAGCCGAGTGGAAAAGATCACCTTAACCCATTATATCCCATCACTCTACTTAAAGAGCAGTTATTTCCATTATTTCTGCACTTAAGATAGATACATTGGTAAATATTCTTGAAAATGAAATTTTAACATACTATCCTTAGGATTCAACAAATACAAATTAGCAGTAACTTAAATTTATTGTTATTTTTATTTTGCTAACATGCATTTTATTGCTTGTTTGATAATATAAAATGAAAACGGCAGCAGACATTATCACACACAAATAATGCAAATTTTATATTATATCTTTCCCAGCTGTACCCCATCAACAAGGACACTAGATACCTTAATACTACATTCTTACAGAAATTTCCTCACATCAAGTTGATCTAAAAATAAAATTACACACAATTTGCTCAATGAACATATTTAATAAGTAGCGAGTTATGAGCAGTTTCTCAAATACTTAGGTACCATGCAACTAGGACTAAATGGAACAAATTGCAAAAACTGTTCACTGGACAGTATAAAGGAAGGAAAGAAGAAAGAGAAGACACTTTAATAATAGCTTTCAAAGCAATGGAGAAAAAATTGTTAACTCTAAGAAACAATAACATCTGCTTCACCGGGGGTGGGCGGAGGAGGGAGGGGTTGCCTCACACTTAACCCTTTGATTGAGATGAGTATGCCTGTTCTAAGCACTTACCCAGTTGTTAAAATTCAAATGTCTCCTGAAGAAAGAATTTTTTTTGGCTTGTGACATGATTCTTAAAGACCAGAGATATAATAACACATCATTGCACGAAAAGACTGCAATGGTGGTGCTTATTCATTACTTTCTAGATCAAAATAAATAATCTGCTCAAGGTATAATTCTTTATGCACATAATTCCCTTTAGTTAATATCAGAAATTAAACATGATCCCAAAAAATGTGATTGTCTAGAGAACTTAATGATCTACCTTTTATACTATTGAGATAAGTCATACGCTTCAACATTCTCCTGGATAAATAGATAATGCACAATGGTACTTTCAAATTACTTCAAAAAAATATTAGTATGTTACCAAATTAATGTTTTTGAAAAAAAAAGAAAGAAAGAAAAATTAGAGTACAAAGAGGGATCTTGCAAAACTTGCATCATTCTCCATTTAAATGTTTTTACATATACATTAGTTATTCAGGTTATATGAAATCATGGAAATGGTAATGATAAGGAAGTTTGGGTAAAGTCAGTACTACTGAACACCCAGTACCGAATGGAATACTTCTGCTTTTTGAAATTATTTCAAAATAATATATCTTTGGTACTTCATATAAAGAGATTGTTTAGTAAAATTTTGAGTTTGCATCTCTCCTAAATGCAAAATTTAGAAAAAGTGTTACAATTTTTGGATCCATCAAATGTTTTAAGAAAATAATATACAAAAAAGAAAGAATACCAGCAGCATCCGGATCAGCTGTATCAGGAGACACATCCATATCAGGATCGTTTTCACCAAACAACTGGCTGAAAATAATTTTTTAAATGATAATTAATAAATGCACAAATACTCTTCACAATATCAGTAAATTTAAATAAAACTCACTTGAACAAATGTTTGCTCCACACTATGCAATGGATAGGTTCAGAGGGTGTGTTCCTAATTGTACAACCAGGATATGTCTTTTGAGGAGCCTTAGGAAGACATTCATAACACTGAGTAAGTTGTTTTTTAATTAATTCAACTTGACCCTCATAGCCAGCAGTCCCACTTTCAATAAGAGGAACATCAGCTGCCAAACACATTCTGTTCACATGATTTCGAGCCATGCGATTATCTAAAGCATTCATAACTACTGCAAATCTCTTGAAGAAATTGACTCCGTAGTCAGCACTGAAACAAAGAAACACAATTTTCAGCTTAATGAAATCTCACAATGGAAATTAAATACGAATGTATGCTGTGCGAAAATCTAAGACCTTTCCAAAATTTCAAAACAAATCAAAAATATCATTTGGAACATAAAATCTCTGGAAATAGTAAAAACGCAGCTGCAAGCTATCCATTTCAATTTGATTAAAAAAAGTAGGTGCTACAACAGCACGTATTTTCTTGTATGATTAAAAATAGTTATGTAATATTAAAATATTGTAATTTCTGCCATACTAAAAACTTTGTTATAACTTGAAAATGTCTAATTGAAACAAATTGCCTCTCTTATCTGAATTTATTTTCATTGTAAGGAAGAATAGTTATTTCTTACTTTTAGAAATGAAAAGAACAAGAATAAATTAAAATGTTACCGTATTCACAGAACGTAATATACAAAAGCAAAAATCATTTCACACAAGCCTACCTTCGTTACATTTGAAGTGAGCTTTCAATTTTTCAAAATCATAATCAGTGATTAAATCTTCTTATAGTAAAGAAGTGTGTTTGTTAGTTCTAAATTAAAATTTATTACTAGGGGGCAGATTTTAAAGAAATGTAATTTTTTTTTTCTTTTCCCTTTAGAACAATGCCCTTTGGTATAAAAATTAATTTTATGTTATGAGAAAAGGATATAACCCATTTTTATAAGCCCTTTTTTTGCACTTTTCGTCGATTTCGGCTAATATGTCATTTTTTATCTTTTTCCATAATTTGTAATTGATTTTTCGCCCACTTCATTCATTTTAAAGATGTTTGTATCAAATAATATTTACGAGATGCAACAAATATTCTTCACAGAATTCCTGGGAAGCATATTCGATTTCTTCGCTCAGAAATTGTGTCTGCCGTTTTATGTACCCTAAATTAGCTCTCTGCTATTTATATAAATGAGCTCATGCAAACAACAGTGAACAAGTAACATGCGTTTTGTTAAGAAAAGGAATGAGTTGCAGACAACAATACTACAAAAATATCCTACTCCAATAATTTACACACCATAGAAATATCAACGTCTCTTCTTAAACAATTATATTTTAAATTTATATCACATCTATCTTAGCCACTTCTTTCTCATCTTGTACACTAAATAACTTCTTACCTCATAATGCTGTCATGATAAGCTTTTATATTAACCGTAGGGTTAAAGGACAATGCACTTTCACGTGCTACTTCTGCTTTTGACTTCCCAACATGCTGCTTATGAAATAAGAATTGTCTATTCAGGTTGCTCACATCAATAGTGTCCAAATCAATCTGTAACAAATTTTAACACATTTGATCTCAGAAAAAATAGAATGTACATTCATAAGAAAATGTACGAAATTCAAACAATTATCATAATGGATAAAAAATAGCAAAATAAAAATGTCATTAGGAATTGTCTTTGTCAATCTCATAATAATCAAAAGTACTGGTGACAACAAAATCATGTTAACAATAACTGACAACATTCATTTTACAGGCATATCATTTTTCAAAATTTTATAATTTTTCACATCACCTTGCAAATAAGCATTATATATTCCAACACCAAACATTGATAAGAAGTTGAAAAATCGAACTTTTATGTGAAGAATGACATCATATAAAATACTAAACCATCCATTTTACATGACAGTATCGGAGCAAAAGGTTCGTCGATTCTCGATGAAGCAACGCAGTACTTACAATTTCAATGTCATTAAATCCACTCATTACAAGATTTTTCAAAATCTCGCATCCGATGCCGCCGGCACCAACAACAAACACTTTGCTGCTGTTAATTGCCTGTTGTAAGTCATTTTGAAACACACCAGCAATGCTAGCAGCCATAGTCTGATACAATCCGTTTTTTAAAATCCCTTAATCGTTTAATGAACAAAACACAGTTAAATAACCGACAACATGCACACCAATCCACACTACGGCACACGCGTCTTTAGAAGAACTCCGCCATCGAAGATCGAACCACCTCCATCAGCCTTGCCAACTGGAGCACGGGAAATTTGAGGGAAATGCGACCGGGCTGTAATCATTCCGTTATTCCTCCATGAATTACTGCACTTTCACGGATTGCGAAATCTACCTGTCTGTGTCTAGCAGCGCCCTCTGAAGAAATAGAGGGCGCTGAATCCACCCATGTCCAGAATAAGGGAGGTGTTGCCAGACGTATTACCAGGATCCTGGCATTATCCTCGCACGTTTGCTTGAGCCCTCATTTCGCTAAATGTGAAAGGTGTGGGAGGATTGATTATTTTGATGACAGGACTATTATATCAATCTGTGGATCTTTTGTCGAAGCAAAATAGTTTTTGTTACACAAGAGCAAACATTTCTGATTATCACATTTTGTAAACAAACCTCACTGCTTTTATTTATCCGTATTTCAAATTCAGTTAATAAAGGAGTGGGGGAAGGTACTCCGGAGCTCAAGAAAACTTGCGGATTCTTACCAGGATTATAATGAAGATACCATGTATTTGTATGAAGTCATCCTGGTACGTTTAAATACAAGGATATTAAGACTTGAGTAATCGACAATATACGATTGAAGATCCGTATAATATTTTTTATTCAATAATGTAAAGCTAATACCAACAACTGTGATATCGATGAAAACATTGACGAAAAACATTGTTCGTGCGATGTGAATGAAAATCTTAATTCAATTAATATTCCCAATGACTCACTTTGATACTACTCCCTACGGGAAAATGGGTGATCTTGAGAATTTATAGAATGTTTTAAACATTCAGTACTGTATTACTACTTTGTATTGTGCCGTATGTCAGTTTTTTGCTCCTGAACAATGATTATTTCAATTAAGAATGACACAAAGTGGTCTTTTTCTAGCACAAGCTATAGAAGAAAGGATAGAACGTCCCAGTCTTCCATTTAGTTTTTCAATATAAAATGAACTGATATCGAGTAATAATATGAACAATTTTATCATTTAAGTCCATTGTCATTGGTACCAGGAATTTTGAAGGTTGGCACTGGGATATACGTTTAAAATGGTTAGAGCGAGATAAGTGTTATGTTTAACATGCCTTTTTTATTGTATTAATCGAAAGATGGGAGGTTCTTCTGTTCTGTTAAAGTTTGAATCGATTTTACCGCCTAGTTTTCGCGTAGCGAGACCGTAAAGTTGAGCATGTTTTCAAAAAACTCTTCTTTTGGTAACTAGCATCTTGAAGAATCAATATGCGCAATTTGAAGATAGTCTACCGTTTCAAATGGAAAATGTCGCAAAATTATAAGCCTAAATCAGTCCAAAGGGAGACAATCGCGCGCTTTCTAGAGGGTCTGGACTGTGACGCGCATCTCGGCAACACTGCGCGCGCAACGCGCTTCATTCAAATCGAGTGACAAGACCTCACAAGACTTCGTACAATCCTCTAGATCTGGGAGCAATTAAAATACCCTCACTCCTGGAGAACATTGCGTTTGATGGTAACCAGATATTCAGAAAGACTGGAATTTGATGGATACAATTGTTAGTGCGATGTGAATGAAAATCTTAATTCAATTAATATTCCCAATGACTCACTTTGATACTACTCCCTACGGGAAAATGGGTGATCTTGAGAATTTATAGAATGTTTTAAACATTCAGTACTGTATTATTACTTTGTATTGTGCCGTATGTCAGTTTTTTGCTCCTGAACAATGATTATTTATTCAATTATTCGAAAATTATCCACATTCTCTTTTTTATTATGGAGATACACAGTGGATTGTCATAGTCTTTTGCACCACAGTTGCTTACACAGAACTCAAAGTAGCAATCTTTAGCATAGATCAGCACATCAATCTATAGAGCTACTGAGTGGGCATTCAATTCAGAACGAAATATAGTTTTAGTGGCTTTAAATGATAAAATATTGTTTTGCTGGTGTTAATATCAGCCATGCAAGGTGCATGCAGAGCTGGAATCCCTCCTAGCAAAATTAGGCTTGGGACTCCCATCCCCGTGCTCGGATTTTTTAAAATAAATATTAAAAACTTCATGCATTTTTTATCTGAATAATTATTAATCAAATAGTTAACTGAACGTTTGATTTTAAAAATAAATTGAATGAACAATAAGAAATTTAATAAATGAGAAATTTAAAAAGCAATTTCTACTTTGTAAGTAATTTGTTAATTTACATCTGTTTTGGAACAATTATTTATTCTATCATAATTAGTGTTTCTGAGATTTATTCATAATTAGTTTTTTTAGTATTAAAGATTTTTCCGAAGGAGTGCCCAGTATAGTTTTGGGCTTGAAGGTCTCCAGTATCTAAATCCGCCCATGGGCAAATTTAATAATTATTGAAATTGTCAGAGGAACGATATATCCAGACTTTGGAAGTTTTAGTATTTTAATAGAAACCCCTTTTCTCTTTAGCACTTTATTTTATCTACTTGTTTGCATTTCCTGGACAGTAGTAGCATTTTGAATGGTTCTCATGTCTTATTTTCAAAACAAGTAAACCTCTTTTCATTTTGAGTGCAACATCAAGACAAACGATTACAAAAGACTATGCCACTTGGAAATCTCTTTTGAAGATTGTAGATCCAACAATGTTATAATTTTATTATTGAAGGTCTCAATAATACAGCTCTCAGAATTATATGTTGCAGTAATATCATTTTTTCAGCATTTGTTTGACATGTACTTTACACAATCATTTGCATCTAAATCAATATCATAAAATGATACTCGTACAAAATTAAACGGAAAACCAGCAAATAGTTTCTATGAATTATACAATTCCACCGCTGGAAAATAATGTGGCAAATTGCAATTGCAAACATAGTTGTAAAATTTCAATCAAAACTATTGAAACATTAAAAATTGATCGTGCAGTTTAATTAACTAAGCAAAAATAAAATAGGGGAATAACAGAAAAGAATTTTAAAAAAATATTGTGATGAGAAGAATAATAAGTAGAAGTAGGAGTCAATGATTACGATTTCTGTCAAGTCAAATATAAAGCTTTATACAAAGTTGGAGAGAACCAAACTGTTGATCTTGTTGTTAAGTAATCGAATAATCTAAGGTTTGTGCTACCATTGGCTCAGGGAATTCAAGAAATAAAAGATTGGGGGAATTATTTCGTTTTCTCTCAAATTACGCTTTGAAAACACACCTTCCACCAATTCACTTAGATGGTGATATTTACCGCGGGTCGACCAGGCAACGAACAGCATTCAAAACAAAACTTTGCATGAGCCCTGAGCAGTCATGCCAATCTCAAGGACGTTACGGTGTTGCCCAATTTACTAGAGAATTTTCGCTCCACTCAAACAAGAAAAATTTTAACATTATTAGCGATCAATGTGCATATATATATATATATATATATATATATAGAGAGAGAGAGAGAGAGAGAGAGAGAGAGAGAGAGAGAGATTCTATAATGTTAGTTTTTATGATTTCGCTCGTACTAATTGTGTCATAGAGCTTTTTTATGTTCAATCTTATGCTTTAATTTTTTATTTCGTGGCCACGCGATCTAGTTGAGAACTAGATCTACTAGTTAAGAAACTAGTCAACGGTAGCTTTTTATGTGATATTAAAATATTTATATTTTACATCTATGGAATAAAATTAATTCGCATAATTACATAAAACTCAGCACAAAAGACACTATTTTGTTTATGTAGTTCTCACAATACCCACTTATATCGCAAATAAATATTTTTGAACGTAATATGGACTCTATCTACTAGGGAATATCTCGCTCTAACCACCATAAGAAGTTCCATTTTAAGTGCGAAAAAGTAAAAATTATGAACATGTCAAGAATAAGCTAAAAGTAAGTTTAAATAGTAGTCCACAGGCTATACAGGTGATTTAGCAAACGAGAAAAAAAGAGGCCGTCATTGATATCCATTATATTAAGTTTTTAATTGTATTTTTGTTAACAACGCAACTGAAATTTGTATGGATAATGGGAAAAGATTATGAAAATCACTCCCTCTTTTTCTTGACACATTCTTTAATTGAGAACCCAAATTTAAGCTTGGGCCCGATGTTGTAGACAGAGGAGCAAAAGCATCCATTTTGTTAAAACACATCCCAGGCACTCAACATGTATGATGTGCAATGTTCATTCAATATGGTAATCACTATCAATGTAAAATATGAATGAAGACACTTTACGAAAAGTTTATATTTATCAAATTTTCACTCACATTTCGCAAATACGGCTTGTGACAAGCAAGGCCCCTTTGGAATCCACAATTTAAAAATATTAGAATCTTATGTGATCTTACTATCTTATGTGAACCTACTGGACTCTGGCGGAATATTGTAGGAACCAATTTGCTGTTAGCGACAGTAATGCTGCCGACAAAAATAATGATCGTGGTGCATCTCAACATATTATTTAAATTACTTATTTTCAACATTTGTGTTGTATGCAACAAACTTTGCAAAACAATGCAACAATCCTAAAGAAGGACCTGCAAAAATTTCGTATCTATTCATATCGATGGTATTAATATCGTGGTATCGATGTCGGTTACATGTTAAATTCTTTTTTATTAGTATAGAAAGATATCTTGAGCTACTTGGACAGTTCACCAGGCCCATGCCAGAGGGCAGGATCCTTCAAAGTGAATATCTCAATTTTCCACATTGCGTGGATTGTCGTTTTTCAGCCGCGTCCTTCATATTATTTTCACGTTAAATACAATAAAATTATTTTAATAAACAAATTGATAGATCGATATTACGAACCGTCTAGAAAAAAAAATTAACGAAATTATTTGATTATTAAAATAGTCAATATTTTTAGTTGGTCCTTGCTTAAAATAGAAGCTACGTCGAAGCATAGTTGTATCTCTCCTCTATGCGTCGGAGCATTTTATTGATGAAATCGCGGCGGCCATTTTTCTGTACGCTGTCAAATATGAAATCCAGTTAAAATATTGTTAATTTTAAAATTCGGTTAAAATGTGAACACGTACATTTTTATTTTGGCGTGAAATAATCTATTAATTTGCATTTTTTAAAACGTTTGTATTTATTTAAAATGAAAATAAAAAACTCAAAGACCATCTGCCACATCATTAAATCTATAATGTTTCAGTTTCTTTTAGAATTTGACTTACATGGCAAGTGCGATCTATTTTTTCTAG